CAGCTGGATAAGCGAAGGTATCAATAAATGTAATGAACAATACAAGAAGCAGAAACAGAAGTTTTTGTAAACAAGAGCAGGACTGTCCATTGGCTCTTGGTATTTAACTGAAGTAGTTCATGAGTATGAAAAGAGGATTTGTTTCATTACATGTTGCATTTTGCCTTTATTGAGGAAGAATAATTTTGGGGGGGAAAATATCCAGCTAGGAATTACAGGAAATTAGGCTCCCAGAGACTTACTGAGGACTTCTGAAATGTTTTGAAGCTGTGCTAATCCTTCACTAATTTTCTTTACTGTCTGCCATAAAGTAGACCTTCTTTGGCCTCAATGGATAAAAGAGAAGCACATTGCAGTAACACTTAACACAATCAGTTATAAACCCAGCAGCTGCATTCTCACAACAGGTCAAGTTTTTGCTTAGCCTATCCTGCTGGGTGAACTCAGGTCATTTAACTCAGTTATACTTCAGTACATTGGGCGATTCAAGAGTGTGATGGCTGGTTTAGTGGGTTGTGTGAATGGAGCCATCTTCTGGGTTGGCCCAATGAACCACTCACCTGGCAAATGGGCTGGATTTGCACAACCTACTAAACTATGGAGATAAAATAACCACGATGAACCTTAAATGTAAAGGCTGAAGTGACAAGGGGGGGGGAATCAGCACTGTTTTGAGTAGATGGAACCGTTGTAAAAACAGAATAGATGGCTTCCAATCTCAAAAATGGAAAAGAATGACAGACAGACAGACAGACAGACAGAAGGATGGACAGGCAGACAAGCAGGCAGACAGATAGACAGACAGGCAGATGTGGTTCACTGGATGTTTGACATTTAAATTAAGTTTAGAATACGGTACATGAATGTTACCTCCAGTGATGTACAGGAAGGGGTTGCCCAAAAAGTCAAGATGGTGATCACGCAATGAAATCCCCTCTTTTTGTGTATGTGCTGACTTCACACACACATACAAAGGGGCAGGGCTTCACTTTTGTGTTGCAACCACTCTTCGACTTCTTTGTATCACTCCCTGTAGATGCTACTGATTACCAGTAGAACTAATCTTGTGAAGGACACCCTGTAAACAACTTTTGTAGCTCACAGATGAATTGTGGGCTACTTACAGTTCTTTGATGATGTTGTTTTTTTCTTGCAGATGTTTCATGGCCCAACTAAGTTACCTTTTCAGTGCTAGAAAGGAGTGGGGTTTGCTCTCTGTTAACCCTATTTCCTTCTAGCACTGAAGAGGTTACCTAGATGGGTCATAAAACGTCTGCAAGAAAACAACTAAAACACTTGACTATTTATCATTAGTCTGAAACTAATCCTCCCCCCCTCTCTCTCTCTCTCTCTCTCTCTCTCTCTCTCTCTCTCTCTCTCTCCCTCTCTCTCTCTCTCTCTCTCTCTCTCTCCCTCTCTCTCTCTTGCTCTCTCTCTCTTTCTCTTTCTTTCTTTCTTTCTTTCTTTCTCTCTTTCCTTCCTTCTTTCTTTCTTTCTTTCTTCTTTTTTCTTCTTTCTTCTTTTTCTTTCTTTTTTTAGCTCATATTGAGAATATTGATGTAAAATATACACCCAGCATTCAGTCCATCAAGTTTGTTATTCATCCTCCTTACACACCTTTCAAGGATGATGATGACTCCCTTCTGACTGTAGTGGACATTTTCAACCAACTTGATATTGAGTTCCACTATGAAATAACAATGTGCTGCACAAAGACCCAGCTGAAGGTAAGTAAGAAAGGGGACGCACGAATGATCACGGGCTTACCTTAATGGCACATGCAGTCGATACAATAATAAAATTATACAATAATAAAATTATTACAGTCAAAGACTAGCATGTACAATGAGCCTAAAAAGGAATTGGGTCGTGTATGGATGTTCTCAGAGGGTAAAAATGTCAAGATGGGGACCACAGCTATAATAATAATAATAATAATAATAATAATAATAATAATAATAATAATAATAATAATAGTAGTAGTAGTAGTAGTAGTAGTAGTAGTAGTAGTAGTAGTAATAATAATAATAATAATAATAGTAATAATAAAGTTGGAAGGGACCTTGGAGGTCATCTAGTCCAACCCCCTGCTCAGGCAGGAAACCCTATACCATTTCGGACAAATGGCCGTCCAGTCTCTTCTTAAAAACTTCCAGTGTTGGAGCATTCACCGCTTCTGGAGGCAGGTTGTTCCACTGGTTAATTGTTCTAAGTAACTCCTTAGTTCTAGGTTGCTTCTCTCCTTGATTAGTTTCCATCCATTGCTTCTTGTCCTGCCTTCAGGCGCCTTGGAGAATAGCTTGACTCCCTCTTCTTTGGGGCAGCCCCTGAGATACTGGAAGACTGCTATCATGTCCCCCCTCGTCCTTCTCTTCATTAAACTAGACAGACCCAATTCCAGCAGCCGTTCCTTATATGTTTTAGCCTCCAGTCCCCTGATCCCCCCTATTGTTTGTTTGTTTGTCATGTTTCTTAACCACCCATCTCCCTCAGAGAGAGCTTCTGGGTGGTGTACAGTATAATCAATAAAATTAACATTAAAATCAGGCTAGTTTAAGATGAAAATTTTAAAATTATAAAAATAGTATTATCATTGAAGCCCCACCTTTTTTTACAATGCATATACCAGATGTATGGAGTCTATGCAGGGGAAAATTGGCGGCTTGGCTTAGAAAAAACAAGATCAGAGGAAGGGGAGAGATCAAAAAAAGATGGGATTTGAGGTTATAGGCTGGATCAGGGAGCTCTACCACTAGAATAAGGGGCCCCCAAATTATCCAAAGTAATCCACTACCACATACTGTACACGCTCTCCATAAATTCTCTGTTGTGTGGACTTTCAGCTGACTTTGGAAACTGATTCTCTCTAACTCTTTCTCTCTCTCTCTCGCCTCTCGATTTAGTGGAAACAAATTGTAAATAATGAAGAATTTAACATCAATGACTTGGATCCTGACACAGAATATAATGGAACGATATACATCCGATATTCTGATAAAATCAGCAAGTCCTGCATGTTTCGAGTACGGACGTTATCAGGTGTGGTTTTGATGCCCAATTTGATTCTTCACACAGCTGTTTTCTTTTCGTGAACTAGAAATATTTCTTTAAAAGTTCAAGCACTCTGCATCCTACTCTCAGAAAAGTTCCCTGGCTCTCTGCCCTCTCAGAAAAGTTCCCTGGGAAGCACTGCCCTCAAGACGTCGTCTTGAGGGCAGTGCTGCCCAGTGGCTAAATGATCTAGATATCCGGCAATAGGTTTACCCATCCCAGTAACTATGCATACATAATTGAATTTTATTCATAATATTACTCATCATGTATGCTGCATGTTTTTTAAAATGGTTCACTGCTTTGATGTTTTATATTCTGATACACATTTTATTTGCTGTTTCTGTGAGGTTTTGTGCATTAATCCTGCATACGAAATAAATAAATAAAACAGTTCAAGCAGGTGATGTCCTCATATAGTTCTGCCTTTATCTTTAGCATAACAAAAAGGATAAATGGGGCTCTCTGGGGCAGTGGTGGGATTCAGCCACTTCGCACCACTTCAGCAGAACTGGCAGCTAATTTTTTGTTGCCCAGGCCCAGAATGGACTTCCGGAAGCGGTATCCACACAGAGAACTGGTTGTTCACATATTTGAATCCCACCACTGCTCAGAGGGCTTTTTAACTTAATTCTGAGAACATTATAGGTAATTATTGCTCTACTATTGGGATACTAAATTCATGATTATGATGCTTTGGGGTTTTATTATATTTTTAGTATATTATTGTGGACAATTTATTCATGTAAACCATTGAGAATCATAAGATTGCAGTGATCTAAAAACCTAATAAATATGTAAAAATAAAAAGCCAAACAACAAACTTTTAAAATTCATAAGTGTTACCTGTTTTCTCTTCCTATCTCTATCCTCTTTGCAACTAGGAGAAAACTTTAAAGTTTTAATTTCTCCCTTTTTATTGACTCCTTTGTTTGGTTTCCATATCTTGACTTATGGACAGATAGATAGATAGATAGATAGGTAGGTAGGTAGGTAGGTAGGTAGGCAGGCAGGCAGGCAGGCAGGCAGGCAGGCAGGCAGGCAGAGAGAGAGAGAGAGAGAGACAGACAGACAGACAGACAGACAACCTTTATTGTCATTTTTTACTGTGGGCACAATGGCACACATTAAAAATGAAATTTAGTTGCTTGCTCTCAAAGTGTAAACATACATAACACACATTTAAACATACTATATACAACATATGCATAGACCTATACCCTTACATATAAGTAACATATAAATATTAATCACTGTCTATCTTGAATACAGTATTGTATTGAATACAATACAAATTAAGCACTTTATAGATATCATAGTTTTAAGCTGGGTCTTTTTAATTTAATTTCATCAGACAGAATAGCAGAACATTTAAGCAGGTATTGGCAGGATAAAAAATGAAACAAGTAGGAATGATGTGAACAAAATTGAATTATTTGATTTCCCTGTAAGAGTGACTCTCATTTATATAAATCTAGATTAGATGTTATGCCTGCAAGTAGCCTTTTTTTGCCAATCTTTGGTTGATTTTTATTTTTGTTCTCTTTCCCATATAACTAAGCATGTTTTGATAATTCAAAAGAATGAAATTATTGGTTCCTTTAAATACAGATAGAAAGATGTTTATTATCAGTCCTGCCCTAGAAGTTTAGGACAATTCAGGATTTTTTTTTCTTTTGCATGTCTCCAAACTAATTAATTAATTTGTTGTCTTCTGTCCATAGATAACACCTGGCTGCCATATTTGTTTGGAATGTTTATATTTATAATCATATTTACCTTTGGAGCTGTATTTTACTTGATGTATAAATATGTTAAACAATACACCATTCAGCAGCCCACATCTCTGGTATGTAATTTTCAATTATATAAAAGTCTTCATTATTTTTTCATTGGCCTTTTTTCATCTACATTATTTTTATAAATAATTCAAGGTGGTGAGAGAGAGAGAGAGAGAGAGAGAGAGAGAGAGAGAGAGAGAGAGAGAGAGAGAGAGAGAGAGAGAGAGAGAGAGAGAGAGAGAGAGAGAGAGAGTGAGTTTCCTGACCCAAAATTACCGAGTCGGTTTTCATGCCTAAGGCAAAACTAAAACTCACCATCTCCTGGTGATTTACCCAAAGTCACCCAGTCGGTTTTTATGCCTAAGGCAGGACTACAACTCACAATCTCCTGTGATTGGCCCAAAGCCATCCAGCTGGTTTTCATGCTTAAGGCAGGACTAGAACAGGCTTCTGGTTTCCAACGTGGTGCCTTAAACACTAGGACCAAGCTGGCTCATAAATTATGATTTATGATCTCAATATATATCTCATTTATCAATATGCTTTGGAAAAGATCAAAACAGGAATTCTATTTCTTCTCTGCTCCTCTAAAGTCCATTACAATGAAACAAAACCTCTATCTTGAGCATAAGTGTCTCCATTTGGAGACAAATAAACTTCATTTGGTTCAGAAGAACAGGTTCAACATATTCAAGTCACATTTCATATACAGCAGTAACTGTAATAAAACGCCAAAGTTCTTGGCGTTCTATGTTCCTATGTAATTGGTCTGGGAGAAGTCTGAGAGGACTGTAAAATGAGGGCAATGACAGAGCATCATGTATCCTCAGTGAATGCAGACCTTAAGAGGACATTCCCTTACCTCAACTTTGATAGAGTCACAGTGACACAGTCCTTTACAATATGGAATTTTTCTTTGATTCTGAATACCGCTGCCTTAAACATGGCTTGCCAGTATGAATGCTGTTCTGTAATTGGCAGATGTTGTACGATAAAGTCTGAATTTAATCGGGTACTTGGGGAGAGGGGATGTCTGTTAAATCCAAATGTCCACTAAATCCACACTTACTGTATATCATTTGCATTAATTTACATCATTTGTATAGTGAGATAATTGATGTAAAAAGTGTAGAGAAATTTAAAGTAAGATTTAATGGACAAGCTCTTGATTTAATGGACATAAGTCTGTTAAATGTGGCTAAAGTCTGAACGATAAAAATTGTTCATTGTCTGTTAAAAATGATTAAACCAAAATTTTATTGTACTGAATGGATTACCACCAGATTCAGTGAATGATTAATTATATTCAAATTAAAGTAATCTGGTGATCTAGTTAATTAGTGATCTGTGATTCTGGCACCTTCTAATGCAGTGTTTCTCAACCTTGGCAGCTTGAAAAACGTGTGGACTTGAAGTCCACATGTCATCAAGCTGCCAAGATTGAAAAGCACTGCTCTAATGTTATAAGTGTCCCTGGAGAAAGTACATGCAATTGGAACTTAGTTTTGAATTTATCAATATATAATAATCAAATTGAAGAGGGATCAGTTAACTTTTAATCAATAATCTACATTTTAAATTGCATAAGACTCTGAACTAGCAGCTAATACTGAATTTTCTTCCTCGATAGGATTTCAAAAGCATTTCCCGTTTCCAGCCTCTCATATTAAATGTGGAGCATGCCCTGAGCCCTTACGATTTATCCAAGATTATCCAACCAGGGGTGTGTTCCAATGAGATTAGCCATTACATCCAGGGTGTGCCAGAGAACCAAAAATTATTCAGACCAATAGCGACAGCATACCAGCAACAATCCAAAACGCCACCATTCCAGCCTCTTGCCCAACCCTTGAATGGTCTTCCAGTTGGATATGCCCCACAAGTGATCAAGAACAGCCGGTTGCGTATCCTAGGGGACAATCCTTCCACATTAACCTATGGATTATGCGTTGAAGGGGCCAGCCACAAGGCAAACCATTCTTTAATAAGCAATGGACGCTATAAAGCCCAGAAACCAGAAAAGACTAACAAAGAGTTGCAGGAGACCACAATGCCACAGGAGGAAGGGTTGGGAGTAGAAACCAGCCCCCAGATTCAACATCTCCCACTTCAGGAAGACTCAAAAGGTCCACCACAAGAATCTCCGAGACTTCTGGGAGAATGGAGACCTATCACCGTGGACAGAAGCGGAGGAAGCTACAGAAAGCAGGCAGAGGTCCTACCTTCCAGCTCAGAAGTTGGCCAAAATGCTATCTTGGAGGGAGCTGATTCTCTACTGTTAACCGTCTCCCCACCACCCTTATTTGCACACTCTTCTTGCAACAACCTCCCTCAAGATCACAGCGCAGGGCAACCGCCAGCCTTCGGCCTCTCAGCCTGGACTGATCATTTTTTGCATTCCAATTCATTGGGATTCCAAATCACAGACTGCGTAGCTCAAGAAAGCTGGGGGTTAAAAAATGAGCCTCAGACGTCAGATATTCCCTCAAATATCCTGGACACTCATCAACTCAATGGACCTTTCCCCAGTTTGTTCAGTGGCTTGGAGCTGAAGCTCCAGTGGGATGGCAGCCCAGAGGAACATGCAGCAACTTCTTAAGATGTGCAAAAGTTTTGGGAATTTCTTTCTACAAAACGAAGTGGGAAGCTGATAGGGTTTTTTTTTTCAAATGTACCCTGACTGCTCTCCGTGGGCTGCACGTCTCTGTCTTTAAAAAGAGGAACATTTTTGAAAACTGCCTTCCACATTTATATTTTATACTGGCTAGGTGAAAATGTGAAAATAGAATGAAATAAATATTATTCTGTGTTTGACGTGTAATCGGATAGCATCCTTTTACAGCTGTGAAATACACTTTTTTGGGGGGAAATATATATATAAATCCTCTAAAGCAGCGGCCCCCAACCTTTTGGGCACCAGGGATCAGTTCCGTGGAGAGGCATTTTTCTGCCAGCCAGAGGGGGGCCTGGTTTCATTTGCTTCCTGCATCCCACAGATGGGGCTTTGATTGTTTGCGTGGACCAGTTGCTGGCATGCTGCAGACCAGTGCACAGTCCACAGATCAGGGTTTGGGGACTCCTGCTTTAAACACTGCAGGAAATATGTCAGCAATAAGTTGGTGTTGCTGGAGAGGACTGTCTATAAGTTTTGGTTTTGGTTTAGCTTTATTTTGTTTTTATTACTCCATCTTTTAAGAAATTACAGCATCTGATTTTAGCAATGCTAAATCTTGGGAGCTCCAGGGCTGCAAAAGCAGTGGTGTGGGTGGGTGGCTAATGAGGTACTGAGATACACAGTACCAGTGACAATGATGCTCAAATATAGACTATGCTGGATGCCTTGGGCTCGTCCAGATGATCTGTTTTTCAAACTTCCAACCCTTCTGAATTCAAACCCTTTTGACTAGATGTGCAGAGTGCAGAGAAGAGCAACAAAGATGATCAGGGGACTGGAGGCTAAAACATATAAAGAACAGTTGCTGGAATTGGGTATGTCTAGTTTAATGAAAAGAAGGACGAGGGGGGACATGATGGCAGTCTTCCAATATCTCAGGGGCTGCCCCAAAGAAGAGGGAGTCAAGCTATTCTCCAAAGCACCTGAAGGCAAGACAAGAAGCAACAGACGGAAACTAATCAAGGAGAGAAGCAACCTAGAACTAAGAATAATTTTCCTGACAGAATAATTAACCCGTGGAAGAACTTGCCTCCAGAAGATGTGAATGCTCCAACAATGGAAGTTCTTAAGAAGAGATTGGACAACCATTTGTCTGAATGGTTGTCCATTCAGGCAGCATCCTGCCTGAGCAGGCGGTTGGACTAGAAGACCTCCAAGGTCCCTTCCAACTATCCTAATCTATTCCTAATCTAATTCTATTCTATTCTATTCTATTCTATTCTATTCTATTCTATTATTATAGATGTATTCAGGCATCAGAATGCTACAAGCAGGAAAAATTTCTTTGTGAGCATTTAATTTTTTGAATTCTGCACGTTTCACAAAGAATGATCTGTTCCTTACTTCTCACTAGGGACTTTCAGGTTTCATGCCCCACCTTCCTTGTCACAAAACTAAAAAAAAACAATACACATAGTCCTCAACTTACAACCCTAATGGACTCGCGACGGTCATCAATTATCACTTTAGAACCATCACGAGTCCATTAGGGTTGTAAGTTGAGGACTATCTGGATCTGCTTTTACAATCTTTATTGCAGAGGTTGTTAAGCAAATGCTACCGTCGTAAAGCAACCGCCACGGCCATAAAGCGAACACACTGTTCACTGTGGGCCGTTTTTTTGCCAAAACCCAGAAGTAAATGCTGGTTTTCAGCAAAAAAAATTGTACAACGTGGTCACATGATTGAAGGCCATTGCAAACCGCCGTGGTTGCTCCCTGGTTGCTGAGCGCTTAAAATACAGTCACGTGACCACGGAGGGGGAGGGTGGGCCATCAGGTCTTCAGAACTGGCCACAAGTACCTTTGGGGGAGTCTGTTGTAACTTTGAGGACTCGCTAAGAAACCAGTCGTAAGTCAAAAACGACCTGAAAATTGCCCTTTGTTTCCGTGCCTGTCATGCACTGGACTTCTTTAACTTGTCATGCCAGCAACTGCAATTGCAGCCCCTCAAAAATTGGGCTGAGCAAGAGCCCTTCCCTAGAAGCATGGACAATCTCTTCAGGATCTGGCAGTGACGCCCTGTCAATGCAGGAGCGGCATCCACCGCTCTGCAATGGCATTTTTCCTGACTACAGATACACCTCTGATGTTGTCAGCCTTGCGAGGTAGTCCAGACAAAAAGGCACGCTCAGAAGGACTAGTTCTTACTATATTGTAGGTTACACTAACATACTCTTGTAAGACAGAAGGTACATCTCTCTGTGTCGGGCTGTAAAAGCCGAAGAAGATACACTGAGGTTTTTCCAAGCAGTCTCTTTTAATGTCTCTCACCCATGTTGCCAAGCTAAAGCAGATGACTTGCACCAGGAAACATATACTCTGGCAACTATTAGGGAGGAGCTGTCTTAGCTCTCTTTCTCCCACGCAAACTATTTAAACTTTGTAGTGTTTTGCTCCTCTGGAATGCAGCCCCTCCCTCCTGGGAATCCAGACTACATTCCACCACACTCTTCCCACCCACCCATCCCCCTCGCCTTTACAGTGCAAGGAGCTAGAGAGGGTTAATTCTGAGACGTTTGCCATGGCCCCATTCCTTCTAGGCCCTAGGGGCTCAGCCATCTCTTATCTGATCACTGCCAAATCT